GAACCTGCTCGGACAACCGAGCTCGAAGAGAGAACCAGAGTTCTCGAAATGGCAATGGGAAGAATCCTTGCCCGCTTAATCCCTAATGACCCCTTGATTCCTTTGCTGAACAAGGATGCACAACCAGCTGCGGTTGTTGCGACTAGAAACTCCCCCGCTCTAAGCAATATAGTAGTGCCGACCAGGCCAAGGGGAAGTGGGAAGTTGAATATCGAGCCCAGCTCGTCCAAATACAGTGAAGAATTGATGAGAAAGAACGCAGACCTTGAAAAGCAACTGCGGGATGTGCAGAAATCCATCGACGAGCTGAAAAGCCCCAGGTCGCACCAACTGACCTTGGATTTGGATAGTGCTCCACTGAACCTATCCATCACAGCAGAACCATATCAAGAGGGATTCAAAATCCCCCACCTAGAGACATATGACGGCACGAAAGACCCAGATGAACATCTACACACCTATCAAGCCATCATGAGGATTCAAAACGCCAATGATGCCATGATGTGCAAAGTGTTCCCGGCAACCCTGAAATCAACGGCCAGAAGATGGTATCACAAACTTCCCAGACATTCAATAGATTCTTTTTCCCAGCTCGCCAAGCTGTTTTCTAACAAATTTGCGAGCCAAAGGGAGATCAAGCGCACAGCAACTGAGCTGATGCAGGTTAACCAGAAGGAAGGGGAGTCTTTGAGAGATTACATGCAGCGGTTCAACAAAGCCACACTGGACATTGATAATATCCCAGATACGATCTGCTTGTCCGCCCTGCTACATGGGTTGAAGCGTGGCCGGTTCCTAGACGACCTGCTGGAGAATCCACCGAAGACGTGGAACGAAGTGAATGACAGGTCAGCCAGCTTCATACTGTCAGAGGACTTTCAGTCGTCCAAGCGACAAGCTGATGATAAGCCGAACAGAGGTCAGGAACAACAACCTAGAAGAGAAGAGAAGAAGAAGCAGAAGGTAGGTGAGCAATGGGGGAAACCAGCTGAGTTCCCGAAATATGCCAGTTACATTCCTTTGACCCTACCTAGGTCTCAAATCCTGGCACAAATTCAGCACTGGGTTAGGAGGCCTCTACCCCCGTTGCATGATTCCCCGAGGGCAGATAAGAGCAAGCACTGTGACTACCACCGTGTATACGGTCACAATACAGAGGACTGCCAACATTTGAAGGATGAGTTAGAGTTTTTGGCTCGTAACGGGAAGCTAGAAGGGTATGTTCAGAAGCCTCACACCCAGCAACCTACTCAAACTCATTTTGTGCAGGCGTATGACCGACCTCAAGGACAGAGGTACCAGCATGTAGGGACGCAAGATGCATATCAGGATAACCAGTATCCTACTGAACAGAGCAGAGTGTACCGAGGACGTCCTTTCAACAGGAGAGGGCAGGGACCGAGAACTACCGTCCCGAATCAAAAAGACAGGAAAGGGGTAGGTTACGCTGGAATACCCCCACCTTCTGGTACAATAAACATGATATCGGGTGGTGTTCACTCAGGGGGCCAAAGCGCCCGAGCCCGCAAGGCATATGCTCGACAGGTGATGACCGTCAACAAAA